CTTGTTTTCCTCCCAGTCCTGTTTCCACATTGTTGCTGTGGCTGCAAAGAGGCAAACCAGATCATCAGCTGGATCCTGGCGTTACTGGTACCTTCCATAAAGCTGTGTGTCTGTACCAACACAGGATTGGAAGATGTGAGTCTCTTCATCATGACACACCTCTCTGCTGTGATGGATTTTCTGAACTCCATCTTCGGATCAGGAAGGATCTGCATCCTGGCAGGATGCTGAAACTGCCCAGCAGTCTGAAGGCTGAATGCTAAGGGAGGAGGGTTTTTTTATGTACTGAACTACAGACTCCTCCTTCTCTTCCGCTCTTGAATCCCCCTCCTACCCTCCCTTTCCAGCTCAGTTTTCTACAAGGTCCCTCCAAGCTCAGCTGTGCTGCTGAATCAGCAGCTTGCTTGCCTCTCCCCCCTTTCCCCTTCCCCGGGTGGTTCTTGGCTGACTGAATGAGCAAGGCAGCACAGGTGAAATTGTGGATATCAGGATAGGAGGTGGGTGAGCTGAACACAAACCCTGCAGGCCCAGCTTTGCCAGAGGAATGCAGCGTCTGGGGTTTATGCAGCTGTTAGGGCAAAAGGCTTGAGATTTGTCCTCCCTTTGCAACATACTCTGTTGGCAGCTCTGCAGAGCTCTGCAGTTCTGCAACCCCGTTGTTGGAACTTCATCCGTACCGAGGTGGTGTGGGGAAGGGAAAGGCCCCCACATCTTCCCCGTGATAGGTACGCTGGGGAGACCGGCCCCTTGCTCTCTGGCTGATGTGCACAGTCTGCCTGTGCATGGCTGTGTGGGAGGCAGAGCAGGACCTGCTGCAGACCGGGCCGGTAGGCTTGAGGAGCTCTTTTTACTCAAGCACCTCTTTCAGGGCCTGTCCTTCATGGGGTGTGCGGTGACAGCCTAGGCCCTTCCCGTCACACATCTATTCCGTGCTTGTATGTTCCTGCTGGAAGGACCCAAAAGCATTGGGACAGTGGGACGGGGTCCCTGCCATGGGGCACCCCATAGTGACTGCAGCCGTGGCTCTTGCTTCTTGCTTGCAGTCAGGACCAGGGCTGTCCGTAACGTGGCATTGTAGGTTCCTGCAAGATCTGGCTTTGTGTAGCCAGGCATGCGACTCAGGGTTTACCTTTGTCTGACTTGATGGACCCTGTGCATGTAGAGCACAGAATCTAAGCCAGAAACCTTCTTTACGGGAGGTTCTGCCACCCTGGAGAGTCCTGGCTGGTTTTGAACCAGGAGGAAGCCTGTTTGCTTTAGAAGGTGCAGAGGGAAGCCCAAGAAATCCAAGTGCCTACTCCAACCAGCTGAATCAGTGCCTCTTCTCTAAAGAAACAGATCCAGAACTCCTAGAAGGTGCTTTTACCCTCTGTTCCTTCCAACCTGGAGCAGGCTAAGCTTTGTGGGGTGCCAGAAGTGAGGAAGAGCTGTGATGAGGGCTGCAGGATTAGGTCCACTGTACAGATCCTGGAATTGAAAAAGTAACTGGGCCATTCAGTGCTGGGAGTCGGTGGGTAGTACAGGAGGTGGTGGAGAGAAAGCAGGCCAGCCCCCAAATAGAATTCAAGCAGAAAAAATGCATTTCACTCCCCTTCTGGCTGATTTCAGGGTTTATCTCCCCCGCCGATTCAGTTTGCTGTGTTTTGGGTTGGATAAGCTTTCATCCTGACCCAGGCAGGATCTGACTAAGGCAGTAAAGCCAGACGAGTCCCAAGGGCAATGCTAAGTGAGCCGTGTCTGGCTTTGCAGCTGAATCATGTGGTTAACTCTCTTTTGAAGGGAGTTCAGAGCTGTGGTGGAACTAGGGCAGGATGCGCGCACGTGCATACCCCACATGCAGAGGAGGCTGTCACTGTCAGGGACAGCACAGCCCAAGTGCCTCCCCCCCTGCTCCTACCCTTCTGCCTGGACCAAATCTTGATCCTTGCCTGACTCAGTTCTCATGTGAGTACATATAATCTTGGGGCCTTTCCAGCACTTACTGTGCCAGGGTTTACACCAGTGTCAGAATTTGTACCAGTATTTAGCTGGAGGGTAGAATGCCTTGGCCTTCATACATCGTGTGTGCCTGTCTGGTATAAGGTGGGTTTTACAGTCACTGTGAGAGTGGATAAGAGAGCTAGAGAGAGATGCCTAGGTCTGATCCCTTCCTTGAGTTGAGGATTTAGCTCTTGGTTAAAAAAGATGGTATGATCCTTTTTCTGCTGGCTTATTACTATCTCAGTCTCTCTTGTTTCCCTTTCTCATCACGTGCAGGCTCTTCTGTTCAGGATTAGAATCTTTTCCTCCTTCTCTTCAGTAGCTCAGTAAATGGGAAATTATTATGACTCTTTACCTCTCTTTCTAAAGAGAGAATACATATGCTTGATCAGGTCTTGCAGTAACTCCATTCTGTTGAAGCAGAGTCCAGGCCAACAGGAGAAAGGGCAGCTGGGTGGAGTGGAGGTGACTGCATGAACACACCAACTTGCCCAGATGCTGAGTGCCAATCTGCTCTGCTAACGTGAGCTGAAGTTGTAGCTTGGCCTCTCAGAGGCAGAAGGGTGCTAGTACTTGTCAGCCCAGTGATGGATGGGAACTGTACACTGGCCCAGGGGCTTGCATGTGCTGATGATGCCTGTCTGCAAAGGCGAGCAGCATGGGGTGACCTCTGAGCTGGGGCTGGCACTCTGCTGTGTTTGGGGGGGCTGATGTGCCAGCAGGCTTTGCACACATACAAGGATGTCACTGCCCTCCACTGCTTTGTCAGCGTTGATGGCATTATGGCTACTCTGGGGAGAGTTTGGGAGTGTAGAGTGTGGGAGAGAAGACAGGACTGCAGAAAGGAGCAGCTGGGAGAGGATTTATACGTAGGTTCAGGGACTTGGGAAAGCCTCCTCCCTGTCATGACGCAAGTAAAGCTTTGTGTAAGCAACAACAGAAGAGCACATGGGTGTGCATGCCGTTGAGGTGGAGGAGACCTGCAGGCCGGTAGCTGTCTTTGGGAAGCATTGTTCATGTGCTCTTAGCTCTGACCCTGTGCCTAAGACTCAAGCAGTGATGTGTGGCTGTTCAGGGAAACTCTCAGATGCTCCCTGGCTGTTTAGGATTATGCATTCTGATTAAAGAAATCTTAATGGGGTCTAAAACCAGCTAGACTTCTCCTAAGCTTTCCAGAGACTTGAAAAGACCCCCACTTCGCTGCCTTCTTGCTAACAGTCCTACATGTGAAGGGGGAAACAACACAGCAGAATTTTAGGAGCCGCCTTCTCCTCACCCTGTTTCTTAGCCTCCTGAGAATTGGAGGTCTGGCAGAAGAGGGACTGTGGCCATCTGCCATCAGTGGTGCCCATCTGTTTTTGCACTGCGAGATGGCAGAGCAGGAGGCAGATTCAGCCCAGGCATACACGTGCGCTCCTGCACAGCTCTCCGCAGCCTGGCTGAGGTGGGTGAGCCAGCTGCCTGAGCCTAACCACAGCGAGGGGGTGGCAGAGTCCCTGCTCTCTCACTGACAGGAAGGGTGGGATGTTTTGAGACAACTATCAGTTGTAGATTAAAGCCACTGATCAGTATTCGTGCTTTCTTTGGTGTGGGCAGGAGTAGGGAGGCTGGAGCTCAGAGGTTCCCTGTTCTCCACAGGCTCTGCCACTCTGCGAGCGCTCTGCCCAGCCTGCCAGCATGGGTGCTGTCCTGACCAGAGGGAATCCCATGGGAGCTGCTGTACCTCCCGTGAACTCCCTGAGACCGAAGCCACAGGTATCACCCAGGCTGCCCAGAGGCAGGGGGGTTGCTGGGACCCTTGCTCTTCTGCACATCCCTCTTCTGCCAGGGAGCTTTTCTACCCCATTGCTTTTCCTCTCAGTCTAGGTTCAGGCAGCTCTCAGGTCTTTGGAGGACCTAGAGTTAAGGGGTGCTGGCAATTCATCTTCCTGCTGATATAAAATAGAAACACTGGTTAGGAGCAAAGTTGGCAAATTGCTTCTGGCCTGCATGTAAATTGCTTGCAGCTACCAGGGTCAAGTAACAAACTGAATCTGTCCATTCAGCCAGCAGGGGCTGCTGGCTTTGCTGCTGGGAGCTGGGAAAGGGAGTCATACTTCGAGGGTCTGGGCTTCGCTCTCAGGGACCAACACCTGGCTTGGGAGGCTGCTGCACAACACCCAGGAGGGGCACGTGGGGAGAGTCTGAGAACTTGTGTGTGCTGGCAGTGAAGGAGAGCACTGGCCAGGGAGTCTCCCTTTCTTTCCTGCCCAATTGTGGGCTCATCACGGAGAGTTTCCCCCTTACTCCACGGCGACAGTAACTGCTTTTGCTTCTGGTTGTTCCAGAGGAACTGGGAAGACCAACTCCATAAACAGTATTCTCAGGGGTGAGAGGAGAGTGGAGTTGTTCAGCCCTTCCCACGCTGGAGGTGGATAGCCCTTCAGGGACTAGGGCAGGGTCACAGCGTGTGCAGGTGCATGTATACATGTGTATCTGCCGGCGTGCGGGTGTGTGCTGCTGGTTCGGTATGTGCACACACGGGCACGCTTTGTGGGAAAGATGAACACAGCTGTAAATAGCTGGGGGAAAATCGGTTTTAAGGAGAGGGATATAGGGTCCCTTGCATTTTTCATGTGGTAGCATGGGGTCCTGGGCATGAGAACAGGTTAACTAATTAAATGTTCCTGGTGCTGCAGTCTGAGCAGTGTGCAGTGAATCCCCTGCTGTCTCTGTGCCTGATGCTCCTGGAGCCATGCAGAGCCCTCTTCTCTCAGAGCACTGAGCTCTGGGACTATAGTTTAACTTCTCCCCTCTCTAGCTCCTCTGCCAGCCAGGCTGTGGGATACCCCATGGTGAGCCTGGTCCTTCAGACCCCACGGATCTGCTACAGCCACTGAAAGGAGCCGTGCTCTGCTGCTGAGGGAGCTGGAGTGTGCCTCCCTCCCCGGCTCTGCTGCCCAGAGCTTTCGGCAACTGCTGTGCCTGGTGACACCCATTGCTGGGCCTTGCTCACTGATTTTCTCTACCCCTTTGTGCAGGCGCTGGACATGGACACAGAGGATGACCCCTTGTTACAGGATGCCTGGCTAGATGAGGAAGATGAAGAGGTAGCCTTTAGCTCCCGCAAGAGGCGAGAAGGTGCTCTGTTGTGTGGGAAAAGTCCCTGCAGAGTCAGGCCCCTGCGTGTTACGCTGCCTGTGTCTGGCTTCTGGAATATTGTTGGTTGGGTATTTACCAACCCGTACTGTGCTGGCTTCATCCTTTTCCTGGGCTGTGCCATCCCTGCTGTGCTTGCTGTTGTCATGTTCCTCCACTACCCCACCCTGGATATTGACATCTCCTACAATGCTTTTGAGATCCGTAACCACGAGTCCTCTCAGCGCTTCGATGCGCTTGCCTTGGCCCTCAAGTCTCAGTTTGGGTCATGGGGGAGGAACCGCCGGGACCTGGCTGACTTCACCTCTGAAACCCTCCAGAGGCTCATCTTTGAGCAGCTCCAGCAGCTTCACCTCAATGCTTCCCACCTCGGGGTCAGCGCGCGGGTCAAGCGCAGCACCCCCGAGGGCAGGACGAGCTTCCCCAAGCCCCGTGCCCACCTGAACCCAGGAAACAGGACTTCCCGAACTGGGAGGGGTGCCCCACGCTGGGACTACTCCAGCACTTACATCAGTGCCAACACACAGACACATGCCCACTGGCGCATCGAGCTCATTTTTCTGGCTCGGGGGGACTCTGAAAACAACATCTTCACTACTGAGCGCCTGGTAACCATCCATGAGGTCGAGCGCAAGATCATGGACCACCCTCGCTTCCGAGAGTTCTGCTGGAAGCCCCATGAGGTCTTGAAGGATCTGCCCTTGGGCTCCTACTCCTATTGCTCCCCTCCCAGCTCCCTCATGACCTACTTCTTCCCCACAGAGAGGGGAGGGAAGATTTACTATGATGGCATGGGACAAGACCTTGCTGACATCCAAGGTGAGCTGCGGGCCGTGGGCAAGGGCTGGCGTGTTTAAGCCATGCATCTCCTGCCAGCTCATGCAGTCACTGCAGCTAAGAGGGGTGACTTGCCTTGTGCAGAGAGGAAGATACTGTCATGTTGTGCCTTGAGAAATCTTTTTCTGTGCTAGGGCCCCTTTTCAACCCTTTCAGCAAAGCCCCTGCAACTCCAGTCATGGCTTAGACAGGCCCCAACAAGCAATCGGGAGGTGCAAATGAGGGGGAGTCCTCCACATTGTACAGATGCCTTCTACTGCCCATGTTCCCTGTAATCCCCCTGCATTGTACAGATGCCTTCTACTACCCGTGTTCCCTGTAAATGACTGTGGTTAACTAGATGAATGTCAGCTTTTGGACAGACAATAGGGATGAGCTTCCCTGCATGGTAGAGCAGATGAAAGAGGTCTGTGGGCTGCTCTGGAGCTTGTGAGTCACCAGCTGGAAAGGCTTCTATAAGGAGATGAATGCCCTGCCTCCTCCTCCCAGCTCCGTACCCTGTACTATGCCCCTCTAGTAGAGCAGAGGCTCTGGATGGTGAAGAAGAGGTGAATCATGAGGAGTCTGTGGGTGTGATGTGGCTGTGGGATGAAGCCTCCATCTGTCTCCCAAGCACAGGCTGCAGATGATAGCTGTCCAGGAGCCATACACAGAGCAGACAAAGAATTAACTCCATCTGCTCCGGTGTGAGTAACAATTCTGCAAGCAAAACAGGAAAGAGGGTAGTTTCTATGGCTTTCTGGTGTGAGCTCAATGGAACTTGGATTTTGGGAGTAGACATGCAGTGTCTCTTACTCAGAACTAGCTGAGTGCCTCCATCTCTGCATCCCCCATGCCATCAGATGGCAGAGGTACCAGGTCACAGCAGAGGCAGGACTCCTCACCCTCCATGGGTATTGTTTAGCTCTTGTGCTTCCCAGGGTGGTGGAGCAAATATTGGCCCAATGTATGAGAAGTGCGTGCATCCAGCAGTGGGAGTATTGATGGGGATGTTGTGTGCATCGCTGCTTGGGGGAGCTGTGGTTCAGATCACAGTTGGGTGAAAGATGCATCCCTGATGGAAAACTGCATGTAGGCAGCGTGGCAAGCAGAGTCACAAAGCAGAAGTGGAGTCTTTGCAATCCAGCCTTTCCCAGCCCTCCTTGCTCTCTGCAAGGCAGCAGCAGTCAGCATTGCTCAAAGACAGGATCACTCCCAGTTCTCCTTTCTCAGACTAGACTCTGTACCTTGCCAGGTCAACTAAGCAGGACCTAACAAAAGTGGCGCTGCTTTCTCCCGCAGGGTCCCTGGAGCTGGCCATGACCCACCCTGAATTCTACTGGTACGTGGATGAGGGCTTGTCTGCCGAGAACATGAAGAGCTCCCTGCTGCGGAGCGAAATCCTCTTCGGGGCACCACTGCCCAACTACTACTCGGTGGAGGACCGCTGGGAGGAGCAGCGCCGCAAGTTCCAGAACTTTGTCATCACCTATGTGGCCATGCTGGCCAAGCAGTCCACGAGGTGAGGGTGGTGTGTGCAGACAGGGCAGGGGCCTTGCTGGGAGTGGGTGAGAGCAGGGCAAGGCAGAGGCTGGAGAGGATGGTGCTTTGTCGCACTAAAGAGGTGGATGCAATAGGCCCTTCCGGGTGTGAAAACTGTGTTAAGGTTTATGCAGGGCAGACGTGCCTGCTTCGCTCTGATGGCCCTGCACCATTCGGTCTCACCTGGAAGGCACTAGGCACAGGAGGCTTGGCATGCCAGCTCAGACTGCTGGTCACACAGTGGCCCCAGCATAATGCTGCAGGCAAAGGAGAAAAAGCACCTCACTTTGAAGTCGGGCTCAGGCACAGTGCTGTGAACGAGGGTGGGGAGCATATGGCAGAAAACCGCTCATATGCTTCCCTTCAGTGCCGCTTCCTACTGCAGCAACATGCCAGAGACATCAATAGAGACAATGAAAGGGAGCCAAAGATTGAATCCAGTGCCTGCCTTTCCACTCAGCCCCTGTCTGACATTGGATCTGTTTGCTTCCACCTCACAAGTCCAATTCCACTGCCTCCAACAGAGCTACTTCTCTCCCTTCCTGGTCTGAATTTGGCCCATTTGGTCTGATGCAGGAGGTGAAATGGTCCTTACTCAAGACATCAACCTCTAGATCCAATTCTGCTTTTGCTCATGCCAGTGTAATTCCTTCCAGAAGCGTTCGTTCTTTGGTACAGAGAGGTGGCAATGGGAGTTTCAGGAAACGCAGGCTTTTTTCACCACCAGGTCTGTGTGACTTTGGCTGAATAGAGATTTGCTCAGTGCTTGTGAGAGGAAGATAGTAAAATAGAGCTAAAAGGGTAGCCCAGTATCCAGACAGCTGAGGGAAGCAGAGGAGTCCCAGTGTCAGTGTAGCTTCTTAGTGTCCCCCTCTCTACTGCTCTGAATGTCGGTAGCTCCCAGAATGAGGAGATACTGATCTTCAGAGTGAAACGCAGCCAGCCCTTGTCAGCCCTGAAAGCAGGCAGCCACAGAGCGTTCGCAGCAATGGGCTGGCAGAGTGGGTTGTAGTTGGGGGAAGCAGAGAGAATTGGGGCAAGGCTCAGTTCTGAAGCTTGGGTTCCTGATAGCCTCCTATGGTGCAGTGTTATAATACTCCTGGTTAAATTATTTTGGATTACTTCTGCTCAAAGCCAGCTTCCAGGAGAAGCTGGTAAATCATATGGTCTCTGATAAGCTCTCGCCGTGCCTGTATCCACTGGTTATTACCTTTGTGCTTAATATAATAAGCAATGATTAGGATTCCAGATGGAATTGGCTTTGGAGACTTCAGGAGCTATTAGTGCCAAAGACCCACCATGCACTGGAGGAACTTTAAAAATATTAGACCTGCTGTTTTATTTTTCTCCCTTCTTGTGTGAACTTCACCTCCAGCAGCAATCTTGTTCAACCTACACTCACCACTCTGAGCTGTTTTCTCAGAGAACTGCCAAGTTTATTAGAGCAGTGACCTTCTTTGGCTTGGGAGGAGACATTGTGCTTTAAATCCCCTTGCTCTGCTCCATTTACACTCGACCTACTCCCTTTCCTTCCTTCCTTCCTTCCTTTCTTCCCTCCCTAGCAAAGTCCAGGTGCTGTATGGAGGGACGGATTTGTTTGACTATGAAGTGAGGAGGACTTTCAACAATGACATGTTGCTGGCCTTCATCAGCAGTAGCTGCATAGCTGTCTTGGTCTACATCCTCACCTCCTGCTCAGGTAGGTTGTAGTCACAGCTGCCCTGCTCCCACAGAAATCCAGATGTGCCGTAACACCCTGTGCCCGTGCAAGCCCCAGGAGAGGCTCTCATGCCCTCACACAGCACCGTGCAGAAGGTCGTGCAAGTCTGATTCTCCAGAGCAGAGATTTGTGGGCAGGGTTGGGGGAAGGCTCACAGGAAAACAGGAATAAGATGCAAATTCCATCTTACTAATGCTGGTGTAAAGCTGATGTAATTTAATGGATGGGCCTCATGGGAAGGGGTCTGCAAGCAGTACTCTTGCAGCCTCGAGCTATTCTTTGCCACCCACACACTCCTGGGAAACAGTATTCCAACAGGGCAGGTGTGAGGTGTCTCTTCTCCCAGGGGATGGCCAGCGGTGCTATTTTTGACATGTTCCTTTCCTCCTGTAGTGTTCCTGTCATTCTTCGGCATTGCCAGTATTGGGCTGAGCTGCCTGGTGGCTCTGTTCCTGTACCATGTTGTATTTGGGATCCAGTACCTGGGTATACTCAATGGTGTGGCTGCCTTTGTCATTGTGGGGATTGGTAAGCACGTCTTTACTCAAAACCTACGTGTGCTGCCTTGCCATAACTCCTGCCTGCAGGAGAGAGAAAGGTGATGGTGGCCGATGCAGATTGAATTTTCCAGCCCTTTCCCTCCATTACCTGTAAGTTCACTATTTACATGTCAGATGTTGAGGGGAAGCTGGATTTTTAGCATGTCTCTCCTATGAACAGAGTATCAAAATCTCCCCCCTCTTTTCCCAGGGGTTGATGATGTCTTTGTTTTCATCAACACCTACCGCCAAGCCACCCACCTCAAGGACCTGCGGCTGCGCATGATCCACACTATCCAGACAGCAGGGAAGGCCACCTTCTTCACTTCCCTCACCACGGCTGCAGCATATGCTGCCAACATCTTCTCTCAGGTACACTGCAGCTTTGGGATTTGGGGCTTTCCTTTTCTGCCAGAGGGCCTAATAGAGGGGAAAGCTGCCAGCACCATCCTTCTGGCCTCTCTTCCAGCACAGAGCTGTGCCGGACTTGCTTGCTCTAGAGGGCTGTCCCTTGCCTGCTCTAAGGCAGTGGACACTGCATGTATCAGCATCCAAGGCAGTATTTCCTGAGCCACTGGTCAAACAGGATCCTGTGGCTGTCAGGCTCTGGCTTGGCTCTTTGCCTACCAGGTTTGCTGACTACTGTGACTGAGGTCAGCGTGTGGTATGCTCAGGTCCCTCCAGATACCTTTCTAGACTGGTGTGTCCCCAGGTCTCCTTCTCCAGTTGATCTGTGTTCTCTCTCTTCATGTAGATCCCAGCTGTGCATGACTTTGGACTCTTCATGTCCCTGATTGTGTCCTGCTGCTGGGTAGCTGTGCTCTTCACCATGCCAGCTGCTCTTGGAATATGGACCCTCTATGTGTCCCCACTAGAGAGCTCCTGCCAAACCAGGTGAGCCCTGGAGCCTCCTTGTGTGGGTGGGAAGTTGTTGTGGAACTCATGGCCAAGGCAGCGTGCAAATCCCTGCCCTATCCTCTCAGTTATCCTCATCTCACTCAGGCAACTTGGCTTCACCATTCCCTGTTAATCTCTAACAGAAGGGAAATTTAACTTCTGCCATTCCAGACTGGAGCAAAATGGAAGGGCCAGGCTGCAGTCCCATTCCCCCCAGTGTACACAGGGCCAGGAGCCAGCCTCTGCTGTGCCAGTCATACCTCTTTGCTGAATCCCATGGAGTATTGGAGCCGGTTGTGTCCTCAGAGCACTTACTGCACAGCTCAATCCTCAAGCTGTGGAGACACAAGCCCCGCAAGGCAGACAGATCGACATTGCTCCTGCCTGTGAGCACAAGCAGGGCATGCAGATTTGTATTTGAAAGTCAGCACGTTTCCCTTTTCCCCCCGCTCTTTAGCAGTGCAGATGACCTGGCCTGATTTAATTCATTAGCAGGGAGATGAACTGCTGAATCTCCTGTCACTCGGTGCCCAGTGCTCATGGCTCAGTCCTGCTCTGTGTATCCAGCCCAGCCTGCTCAGCCCCTGACCTCTCAGCACTTAGCAATGGAAATTGCTCATGGCAGTGCCTGTTGTCTTGCCAAGTAATTGGAGCAGGCTGTTGCTGCTTTCCCTGTCACTGAAGGAGCCCACTGGTAACTCTTTGCAGAGTATGTGGCTTAAAACTCATGGCTTTGTATCCTTCCCTGCTCCAATCCAGCTGTAGTCAGAAGTGCACCAAAGAGAGTGCCTTGCACCTGGCTGAAGATCTCTTCATTGCCTCGGAGTCCGCCTCCAGAGCAGGCAGAGAGACGCTTCCCTATCTTGATGATGACATCCTGCTGCTCAGCGTGGAGGAGGAGCCTGGTACGTGCCTGCTGCATGGTGCCTTCAGGGGGGCTGCACTGCCCTGTTCATCCTGCAGTTCTTCCTGTCCCTGCTACTCATCCATGCCTCGGTTTCCCTAATTTAAGCTGGAGATAGTGCTGTCACAGGAGGTTGTAGGAGTCTGAACTCATTCATGGTTGTAAGATGCTTTGAGATCTTCAGCTGTGTCAGTACATACTTTCTAACTACTTTGCTAATCCTCTTGGGTCTAATGTGGATTGTACTTTCTGATTGGAATCACTGATTGTGACATGGATGTAGCCATGAACCATCTAATCTGTAGCACCAAGACAGCTCACCTTTGAGTAAAGAGTTTTCCCCACTTCCCTGCTGTTCAGAGCACTGCATTTGGGAAGCAGGCAAGAGAATGCTTTGTTATTCTCCAGCATCACCTCCTCAGAGTATCTCCTCCATCATGGCAAGAAGAGGGCAGTGACTTGCCTGAGACCACACAAGCAATCTAGAGAAAGAGTCCAGAAATTCTGTATCTGTTGTTAGCAGGAGATAATCCTTCTAGCCCTGATTGAAGATAAGGGTGCTTACAGAGTCATGCTCTGTTGTACTTGGCTTTTAAAACTTGCTGGGCTCTCTTCCTTTTAAAACCCCCATCGGAAGCAGTCTGGGCAGTGAGTAGCTCTCACGCCTAACAGCAAACTGGAGCTGGAGGCAAATGGATCAATGGCTGAGAGCCCGTCAATCCCACAGCAGTGTGCAGACCCCCTCCCTGCAGAGTAGGCTCTGTGCTGCCTTTGATAAGCAGACAGCTAAGCTTTGGCGCTGTGCTGCAAGAGCTGTCTCCTTAGTGTGCCAGAACCACATGCAATGGTAATGTATGGAAATAGCCCCTTCCCTCGAGCAGAGTAAACAGCAGGATGCTCTTCTCCAGGGGCCCCTGGGCATTAGGTAACTTGTGAAGAACCAAAGCAGCTTGTTCCATTCGGTGACTAAGCATGGTTTGTGGGTCAGCTGTACAGCGTGCCAGGCACGCTTGGACACCACTACAACAAGTGCCCACTTCTCACCCGTAGAGAAGAGGACAGTTCCCTAGGCACCCCTGAGCTGGAGTAGAGAGATCAGCTAGGAGCTAGGCTGCAGTCGGGTAGAGGTCAGCTGTAACACATAGTGTGACGGGGACAAATTTTCATAGAATCATAGAATGGTTTGGGTTGGAAAAGACCTTAAAGGTCATCTGGTTCCAGTCACCCTGCCATGGGCAGGGACACCTTCCACTAGATCGGGTTGCTCAAAGCCCTGTCCAGCCTGGCCCAAGAAGCACAGAGTGTCCCTGTGACCTTACAGACAATGTTAGTGGGATGTGGTGGAGGAAGAATAGCTTGAAGCGTGGGCTTTGGGCTCAGCTGTGGATTTAGAAGTGTAGCTGTCACGTGGCAGTGCCTTGACAAAGATGCTTCCTGTGACATCCTGGGAAGTCACTACCTGTGCCTGGGTCTTACTCCCATCTCTTTAGCTTGAGTGAGTTGTACAGCACCTTGCAGAAGTTTTTTGTAAAGGCGAGCAGAAAGCTGTGAGAGACACTCATGACACTGAGCACTGAGACTGCCTTTGATTTCTCTCTGTTTCTAGTCTCCCTGGAAATGGGGGATGTCCCCTTGGTATCTGTGATGCCAGAAAATCTGCAGCTCCCTGCAGAGAAGAGCAACCGGGGTCACTTGATAACTCATCTGCAGGAGCTGCTGGAACACTGGGTGCTGTGGTCTGCAGTGAAGAGCAGATGGGTGATTGTGGGTAAGAAAGAAGGGGGTTGGGGGGTGTTCCATCTGCATGGATTTTAGGGGGTTTGACAGCATCTCAATCAGTCCCCAAGCCTGGATTATTAGTGACAATATTAAGAAAAGGGACATAGTAGATGGCTTCTAATTCAGTGGAAGAGTGTCTCCAGAACAGTCAGTCCCTAAGGGAACTGCACGAGGAACTCTTGAGACTTCTCCATCCCTCTCCTTTCACTCAGATTTGAAATGGCAAGTCCTGAGGGGCTTTTCCAGGCGTGGGGCTCATTACAAGAAAGCCCAGCTGCCACTGTGTTTTAGGGGCTTTTTTTTTTCTTGTTGAAAATACCATCTTTCTGACATACCCCTGCTGTCTGTGTCCTAAGTGCAAGATGCATGTAGGGTCCCACACGCTTACCTGGGCTTCTCCTTGCAGGGCTCTTTCTCCTTGTTTTGCTCCTGTCCATATTCTTTGCTAGCCGCCTCCATCCAGCTAGCCGTGCTCCAGTCTTGTTCCGGCCAGACACTAACATCCAGGTGCTGCTGGACCTGAAATACAACCTGAGTGCTGAAGGCATCTCCTGCATTACCTGCTCAGGTGAGAGTGCTGGTCCCCAGACCATGGTGGGTGCAGCCTGGCATAAAGTCTTGAGCTGAAAGAGCTGAAATGTGAGGTAGAGGCCTACATTGTTCAAATACCTCATGGGACATTGCATGGACCCTACTGAAGGGAGATGCGTGTTGGGAGCGGGATGGTTGAGTTGCTCATAGGAGTATTTTGAGTTCCTGCATTAACTGGGAATTGTCTGAGTGTTTCTGCTGGAGTAATTCCTTTCTTGTCCATGAAAAGTGACTTATTTTTACTTGTAAGTGCTGGTCACATGCCAGTGACCAGCTGGGGGGCTGTGGCTCTGTGTTCCCTGCTTAGGCTTTGGTGTTCAATAGCAGAGTCCGTGGTGTGTGCAGGGCCAGTAGGTCTCTGGTCACACCATTCACTCTCTCCTCCCTGACTAACCTTGTGGGACAGGTTTGTTTCAGGAAAAGCCCCACAGTTTGCAAAACAACATCCGAACCTCCTTGGAAAAAAAGAAGAGGGGCTCAGGGTCACCTTGGGGAAGCAAAGGGAGCATAAGTGATACAGGGCAGCAAGGTAAGTGGGGCATGATGACTCTAATCATGCTTGGGTCCGGGGCTCAAGGATCCTCTCAGGTGAAAACTAAATCATATGGTCTCTGAACAGCTGATGGGGAATAATGCTCTTCAGGCCCTGCCCCGCGGAGCCCTAGCTTGGTGCTGGATGTCAGGGGTGTTACAGTCCCCCTTCCCCTGAATGCTCACTGCTCTCTAGGACATGGTTCTATAACCCAAGCAATGGTACAGTCTAGTGACAAATACCTCTGCTCTGAGGACAGGGCTAGGAGCTCAGAGCTTTTGTATCCCAGTCCTGTGTCACAGCCACGTTGACAGACCATGAGGATGTTGAGGATAAAAAGAGTTATTGGGCCAGGTCCCGAGATGACATGAATCAATAAGTCAGTCAGGAATTACTGCAGCTCCACATATATTTGTGAAGACCTTTGGAAGGTGTGCTGTGCTTCTAGAAGGCAGAGGCTGTTCCTGCAGCCCCAGAGGAGATAGCAGACAAGAAGAACCCTCCTTTGCTGTTGTCCATGCCTGTAGGATTTGCTGATTGAAAGGTACTGCCAGCCCTCATGTGCTCTGTTTTCTTCAGATCTCCAGGGGACTGTGTATATCTCCAAGTCCAGAAGCAAGGGAAGACCAGCCATCTACAGATTCTCTCTCAATGCTAGTGTCCCTGCCCCTTGGCAGATGGTGTCACCGGGAGACGGGGAGGTGCCTTCATTCCAGGTGAGTCAGTCCAGAGATGTTGGACCCCTCTATCAAGAGTGCAGCACTCAACAGGTGAGCACAAGAGCCTCCTCCTGTCTCTCCATGGGATCCTAGGTAGCTCGGGGTGAAGTTTGCAGGGCATTGCAGTAAGGTAGCTAACACGGAGGGCACTGTGCCTGGCATTGTTAAAGACTATGCCTCATAGTGCCACAATACGTATCTGTTGCTGTTGCAGTGTGACTGTTAGCAACGGGAGCAGAAGTGTGGGTGTCTGTGGAGATCAGATGAGGCCTGGCATTGTCAGCTGAGCTCATTCTAACTAGAAACTGCTACTGAGACAGCTGGATTCCCACTGCCTCGCTCTGTCCATCCACAGACACAGGCGAGCAGGCAACACTGCTTGTGCACAGGCCAAATGCTTGGACACGTGCAGTCCCTGGAGGACTGGCTTTCAGATGTCCCTCACCCTGGACAGAGCAGGCACTATCCACGGAGAATGGGGGTGGTGAGGGACCCCATCAAATGCTGGCCAACCATGGGAAGGAGGCAGAGGAGGGGTTGGCTGGGTTCGTGCCTTCAGTGCTCATTCTGTGTGGCTGTGCCAGTGCTCAGGGAGGAGGGGAGTGTGTGATGCTAATGTGCAACAGGCTGCAACCCTGTGGAGTTAAGTGTCTGTTTTCATTAATTCATTGCTTAGGTGTATAGAGCGCCTTTCGGTAACTTCACCAGGAAGCTGACAGCTTGTGTGTCCACAGTAGGGCTGCTTAAGCAGACGAGCCCCAGGAAGTGGATGATGACCACCTTGTCCTGTGACACCAAGAGAGGCTGGAAGTTCGACTTCAGTTTCTACGTGGCCGCCAAGGAGCAGCAGCGAACACGGTAACCATCCAAAACCCACTCAGGGCCAGGCAGCAAAAACATCACAGCTGAGTGGCTGGTATGGGATGCCTGGTGCCCAGAGCCAGTCCTGTCCCCAAGTGGTGACATCCACAGCCCTAGGACTTGCTTTGCTGCACGTGTGCCCCATCTTTGCGAAGTTATTTTGTAGGCCCATGGCATCATTAATGTGCCAAAGGCAGGACTGTGACTGGGGCCTTCTTTGGATGGCAAAAAGATATTGCTGAGCTTGGTCTTGCCCTTACCCACCTGAACTCTTGGGCCGAACAAGCAGCACAGAGTATGTGATGGCTAGGGACAGGTCCAGAGTCGCTCACCTTTTTCCTTTCCTTCTGTCCCTGAGAACAATCTGTTTTCATGTAATGCTTTGGACACATCATCTTTGCTACCTCTGGTCCCCCATAACAAACTTTCTTTGCTGCACAGGAAACTGTATTTTGCCCAGTCGCACAAGCCCCCTTACCATGGCCGAGTGTGTGTAGCACCTCCTGGCTGTCTTCTCAGTTCCAGCCCAGATGGACCCACCAAAGGCATCCTTTATGTTCCCAGTGAGAAAGGTAAGCTGTCGAGGACCTGGTCAGCCGTGTCTGGCTGTTGGGTCCAGAGAGTCAGACCTTTTTTTCGCTGCCCTCTGATGTAACCAACCTCTCTTCTGTATTTGACAGCAGCACCCAAAGCAAAGCTCTCAGCCACTTCTGGATTTAATCCTTGCATGAACACGGGCTGCGGGAAGCCAGCGGTGCGGCCACTGGTGGACACGGGAGCCATGGTGTTTGTAGTGTTTGGTATCAGAGGTGTTAATCGCACGAGACGCCCGGACAACCACGTCATCGGAGACATGGTACACACATTGTGGCGTGCTGGACAGGCATGCTGGGGGCTGACGAGTGAAGGATGATCTCCCTGGATGGTGTTTAGTAAATCCCACAGCCCAGGCAGTTTGGTCCAGCAGCCTAGACAGATGGAATAGCAGAGATGGTAGCATTGTGATGAGCCAAAAGTACATTTCTGTTTTAGCAAATTCACAAATAATGGAGATCAGAAAGCCCTTACTGAAATCACTTCAGGCTTTTCAGAAAATCCCTTTCTGAGTGCAATATCTAACCTTCTAATTTTGAGTCTAAATCTGGATTTCCTGAGGATTTTAGAAGCAAACACATCTTGAGCTCAGTATGAAAATCTCACTACAAATTCAAGATACAGGGAACTGATTTTTTTATATAATTGTTTATCATCTTGTTATGAAATATTAACATGAAAAATATACAAATGAATTACTCCAGGGAAAAGTTATTAAATGTGACTTTTCCAGGAACAGCTTATCTCCCAGATCTGATACCTTGACACATTCACTGCCTTTCCCCAGAAAAATTATGCTTAACTGGTCACTTGGCAGATGCACTTCAGCTTTCTGCTGTTCTGATCAGGGGGCACTGTGCAGAATCAGTTTTTGCCTGTTTCCTCTGGAGGGGGCAGTGCAAAGTGCAGGCAATGGAGTGGGCAAAAAGCTGGAGTTTCGTGCTGAGCACTGGTAGGGATTCAGAGCTGCTCCTTAGGCAGCCCCTAATGGTTTTGGGCATGGCATGGTGGCTATTCCATTAATCAGTGCTTCTGTCATACTGCCTGACTGACTTGTATTTTTCTTTTTTTTTGAATGGGAGATGGGGAGGGTATGTAGTTTCTTCCTTGATTATCTGGTGGGTTTTTCCACCATATAACCTAGTCCCAGGCTGTGTAGACAGGAGAGGACTCATCTGCCTTCTTGTGCCAGTTGCTGTATGTACACCTCACGTGTGATGCTCTTATTGTTGTGTCTCCTTGTGAAAGGGCAGCGTTATCTATGATGACAGCTTCGACCTCTTCAAAGAGATTGGCAACCTGTGCCGCCTCTGCAAAGCCATCGCCAGCAACACCGAGCTGGTGAAGCCGGGAGGGGCTCAGTGCCTGCCCTCTGGTAGGTGGGACTAAGGCCAGCGTCAGAGTCCGTGGGGAGATCCTGGGTCCCTGGGTGGAGACTGATTTTTCACCCTCCAGTCTGAGGAGTTTGGCTCCTAAGGGCTCCTTTTCAGCTTTCGGATCCCAGATTGGTGAAGCAGGGAAGGGAAAGGGAGGTACCAGTCAATGACCAATGCAGGCAGTGCAGGGAGGAGAGGTGTTTCTCAGCAGTCAGCTTTCCTGACCTGGCTGCACAGCTCTGCCTGTTTCCACCTGGCTTGAGTCACAGCTCCCATCTCCATGGGCCATTCACCTCATGCTTCCATGTGTTGTGCCAACTGTTTTGGGGATGAGAAATACACAGTGAGTGGGACAGGAACATCAGGCTCCTGTTCTGTAGCTCTGCTTGTAGCAGTGTTTGAGCTGGGGTCCTCAACACCAAGCCAGAAAGGTGGCTGCTTCTTGCTGCCTCCATTTTCTTCCCAAGGCAACTTTATCCTTCTAGAACATGCCCCTGGTCATGCTTTCTGGGATGAAAGAGAAATGGTCTCTTAACTTCAGAGGCATTGGGCATATTCTTTGGGATTTAATCCCATGAAGATAACAGAATTGCATCTGTTTTTTCCAGTCATGGGTATTGCTTACAATCTTTTGGACCAGTAGATATCTTCTTAGCTCCTGAATAACCAGCAAATCAAACCTAATCTCCTTGTGATGAGGCTGCTCACTGCCCCTGTGGCTTCACAAACCTAACCAGTGACTGTGTCTTCCAACTTCAGAGGTCACAAGGTTGTGGAGCTGTGTCTAGGAACTGTATATTGACTTCAGGCCAAAAGCCAAACTCATGCTCGGAGAGAATCTCTGCCAGGCCAGGCAGGCAGCTCCTCAGCACTTGCTGTTTGTACTGCCTCCTGGCAGCTGGGGACAAAGAGCGGTGGCAGTGTCTGCCCAGTGCTGATGGCACAGAGTGCCCTTTCGGGCCTGCAGCAGCTGAGGGCTCTGGTCCCAAGACCTCAAGGGCTTTGGCAAGTCAGAGTTGCAGGGGAAGCAACTGCTGTCAAATGGGCCCTTCAGCTTTCTCTTGGTTTTTGTTCTTCCCTTGCTCCAGTGTGCTATCCCCTTGCTCCCTGTCCTATCCTCCATCCCTTGCTCTTTCTGTTTTTCCAGGTTACAGCATCTCCTCCTTTCTGCAGATGTTGCACCCTGAGTGCAAGAACATCCCTGAGCCAAACCTGCTGCCCGGACAGCTCTCTCATGGGGCAGTGGGGGTGAAGGACGGGAAGGTGCAGTGGATCTCCATGGCATTTGAATCGGTGAGCACATGGCATTGCCAACTACCTTTTGTGAGTTTCTTCTTCTGAGGGTTTAGCTCTGCTCTTTCTGCACTGGCCACTTTCATGTGCAGCCATAATTCAGTGTTAGCTAGTGTTTGTGCCTTTTTGCAGCCTGCACTCACGGGTTGCTAGAATTGGCTGCTTATGCCACAGCTCACTCTTAGTGCAAGAGATCAGGCGAAGAGCTGGTGGCAGATTTGCCCATCTGCCACTGCCAGTTCTGCCTGGTACTGCAACTCCAGCTGGCTTGTTCTACCTCTTCCCTTGTCATGCATACCCCTCCCCAAAGAGCAGGACAGGAGAATAACATGTTCATCTTGTTACAGACAACCTACAAAGGGAAATCTTCCTTCCAGACATATGCTGACTATCTGAAATGGGAGACATTCCTGCAGCAGCAACTCCAGCTCTTCCCAGAGGGCTCTGCTCTCCGGCATGGTTTCCAGACGTGTGAGCACTGGAAGCAGATCTTCATGGAGATTATAGGTAAGTGACTGCCAAGTTTCTCTCCCTGAGGAGCCCACGCTCTGATACATCTTCACAGCACACTGTGTCCCATCTGATGGGCACGTGTTATATCTTCAGTCCCTTACCATTGCTGTGCAAACTCCTAGAGCCTGTTTCTGCCCCAAGCAGTATAGACTGTAAAAACCCTAGGCAGAGCCCAGGGAAATAGAGAAGGGAAGGGACTCTGCCCCGCTGATGGGAGAGGCAAGAAGTTGATCACCCACTTTCCACTTTCAGCTTCCCCTTCCCATCTCCCCTACTGTGAGTCCCTGCCTGCCTTGTGTCCAGCAGGGACATGGTGCCTTTCTCATCCCAGCTGTCACCTTCCAGGAGTCAAATTATCTGGCTCTTTTCTTGCAGGAGTGCAGAGTGCCCTGTACGGTCTCGTCCTCTCGCTGATTATTTGTGTGGCTGCAGTGGCGGTGTTTACCACTCACATCCTCCTCCTGCTGCCAGTGCTGCTCAGCATTTTAGGTAAAAATACCAATTCCAAAGTGTCAGACTCTCCCTTTGTCTGAAATTGGTGGGTTGTGGCACTGCTGAGTCTCTGGTGATTTGAACTGAATTGCTCTTACTCTGTGTAAACCCTTTTGGCTTTCCAGGAGCCAGTCCTGATACACCTAGGTGATTGGGAGGAACTCTTAATGAATGCACAGGAACCTCACTGGGAAAGCAGATTTGTGTGTCTAATTCCCAGTGTGTTTTATCTACCAATCCCTTCTATTTGTTTAAATAAGGGTTTTAGCTACACAAATGCCATCCCTGCCTGTTATGTATAATAATGTGATTAAGTCCCACATGCTCTGAATAACAATTGCATTACTTCCCAAGGATCTGCACCATGGCTGCTGCTTCCAAGCAGTGGGAGATTTTAAAAGCTGAATATTTTAGCGGTTTTGTTAGTATTTGAAGCAAATTTGTAAATAGTTCCCTTTCCCTGGCTGGTGATTTGACGATATCGTGGTCTAAGTGTGTTGCTAAACTTCTCAGTTGAAAAATCAAATCTATCATTTTAAAACCACTTAGTCTCCCACACATGACTCACAAACAAACATCACTCTTGCCTTTAAGAAAAACCTGTGTATGTGCTCAGCCTGTGTGTAACTCCAGCAAGCAAAACAAAGGGCCCTCTTCCCTGTAGTGCCTGTGTGCACACATGCACACTTGCCTGGGCTTAGATTCATTTAGGAAGCATTAGACTAGATTGGCTTCAGTCTCTCAATTTGCCTAATATTTTACTAGGTGCTTCACTATCCCCAGCAGGTCTTACTACCTCATTGAATGGTCCCTGTGGCAAGGGAGGGTGAGGGAAGTGTTTTCCTCTGTGGGCAGGAGGGAGTGTGTACCAGATGCAGACTGGCCAGTGTGCAGACCTGCTGGGGAAGATCCCCAACTTGCCAGCGAGTGACTTCTGTCTGTCAGTGGGCCTGGGCAGCAGGCCCAGAGTCCTTTAAATTTGCCTAACGTGACCTTCTTCACACAGGGGTGGTCTGCTTGGTGGTGACCATCATGTACTGGTCTGGCTGGGAAATGGGAGCTGTGGAAGCCATTTCCCTCTCTATCCTTGTTGGCTCCTCTGTCGATTACTGTGTGCACTTGGTGGAGGGCTACCTGCTGGCAGGGGAAAACCTGCCACTACACCAGGCAGAGGTGAGCTGTTTCCTTCCTACAGCCTTGTCTTCATTCCCTTCATGCCCTCTGTGCCACTCGGCTGTGCTGCAGGACCTAAGGCCTGACGGGCAAGGGGGGATGTGTCTTGCCACCCTCCCAGCCTGCCTGGGACGCTTGCTGCTTGTCCCACTGACTGGTCAGAGACTGGTATGAGCTTGTGTACCCAGCTGAGGGCCCAACCTGTATGGTTGTCCCTTTCTTACTGGCCACAGCTATGTCCAGAGCAACCCCTTTTCATGTCCTAGTGAAGACAGGCTTGTGCTGGCGTGGCCCTACACTCATTCTGTAACCTCTGCAGAGTCTGTGCTGGACCTCCAGGTCTTCTCTGGACTTGTTAACGTCTTTTCCCCCTTCGGGAAAGAGGAGACCACAAAAGCTTGGGGATCTCTGATCCTGGGTGTAGTGTCTGCATGCAGTGCCTCTGTTCTGTAGGCCCAGCAGTCAGCCTGACGTGGCTGAAAGGAGGCACAAAAACCAGCAGACTTTGCCTCTACTGGCTTGTAACCTGATGGCTGTTAGCCCAGTGAGCTCGGAGACTGCACAGACTGTCCAATCTGCCCTCATGTAGCATCTTTGTCCTGGCCCAGGACTCCATGAGCTAAGCCACCATCTCACAGGCTAAAACATGAGTGCAGCTCCATGTGCTTGTCCTCACTCCCCCTTAACACTGCTGTCCCTTTTGCCAGGACCCCACCGCCTGCCGCCAGTGGAGGACGATTGAAGCAGTCCGTCACGTGGGTGTGGCAATTGTCTCGAGCGCCGTCACCACAGTGATTGCCACCGTCCCGCTGTTCTTCTGCATCATTGCCCCTTTCGCTAAGTTTGGGAAGATTGTGGCCCTCAACACAGGAGTCTCCATCCTGTACACGCTGACTGTGAGCACAGCCCTGCTGAGCATCATGGGGCCTGGCACCTTCATCCGCAGCAGGACTTCTTGCCTCAAGGCTGTCGGGGGGGTGCTGCTTGCTGGCCTGCTGGGTCTGGGCATCTGCTTCGCCCTGCTGAAGAGTGGATTTAAGATCCCTCTCACTAATGGGACAGCCATGTAGACCCTATGCCAAGAGCCACATGCTCTGTCCTCTTGCTCCTGTTCTTTTTTCTTTTTTTTTTAAAGGATATTTTTTGTAAGAAAAAAAAAGAGGAAAAAAATCCCTTTTTTCCAGAAGTTTTTCAACTCCAGATGCACTTTATTTTCTAATGGGTTTTGCTCGAAACTTGTATTTATTTTGGGTAGTGATGGATGGATGACGGACAGTGAGGGCTGCCCAGGGAATACCTCAGCCCATGACTAGGAGGGGAGGAGGTCTCCTCTCACTTTTTTTCTTCTTTTCTTTTCTTTTTGTCTTTTTTTTTTTTTATGAACAGCTGCTTTTTTTCTTTCTGGAACCGCAAAGCTAAAAGGGGAGAAGTTGGGAAGGCCATCTGCTCCCTTTCAAAACACTTCCCTCTGTCCCTCCCCTCGGCCAGCGTCAGCATTGCAACAGTGACTCTTGATGTGACGTCCTATGCCCACACCAAGCTTGTGCCTCAATTTCTGAGCCTTTGAAAGCAACAGTGAGCTGTTGGACAGGCCTGGGAAATAGCGTTGTCTGGACCCCTTTGCCTTGCCCAAGCTAGACCAGCAGTGAACTTGCTGCACAGGAGCATTCCTGGGTGTCATTGTGGGATCCAATCTAGAGATGTGGGGTGGCAGCACCTGCAGTGACCTGCTTTCCTCACTCAGGGAGAGCCTTGGGACGCATAGCTTGCCTCTTCTTTTTGAAGGGACAGCACACCTCTCGCTGGGATCTCCTGGGTGTGTGAACAGCCCTCAGGAATGCAGCCCCTGCCCTCGGTGGCTAGCCCTCCTCTCACTCATCGCAGTAGTGAGGCCAAGGCAGTGATGATGCCCAGCCCCACCTCCTGCTCAGTGTGTCACCTCACCAGTCACTGCCTCCCCTCCTCAGGGTGGAGAGAAAACAGCCTTGAGGTCCCTGCAGAGTCTTTAGTCATGGCAGTCAGCTCTTAGGCTGAGGCTAGGCTCACCACTGGGGCCAGGTAGAGCCCCTGCCTGGTGGCATCCGTGGATACACAGTGGTGCATCCTCTGAGGCAGCTGAGACACCCTCTGTTGTGGAAACACGAGGGCAGTGGAGTTTCAGCCTGGGGCCGCTGCCTGCTCAGAGCAGATGGTTTATATTAAAGTAAAATGAAATCGCAAACTGGTGCCATTAACAAGTACATTTTAAGCATCACTGATTCTATCATATTTTTAAAATTGAAATAGCTAAGTGTGCGCATTGATATGCAGCACATCTGGTCCTTGGCAGAAGGGGGGGGGTTGGGCCCACGGGGAGATGCATTAAACATTATTTACAGGGCTGCCAATAGAAGGGGGTGGCCAGAAACCATCCTGACTCTGTGATGGCTTTGTGTTCCCTATCTGGATTGACCCCCTTTTTAAGATAGAAATGCCAGGAAGCCCATCCCCAGTGCCAGCCAAGTTCTGGGGACTCTGCGGCTGGACAGACCAGCAGCTGCTTCTGCTTGGCTCAGTGTATCCTCCCTCTGACCCCTGGTAGTCTTACACCTTTACATCATGTCATCCATGGATCAAATGTTTATTCCTAAGAAGGTTCCCCCAAGGTATCAGCTGGAGAGAGGAATATCAGGACAGGACTCTGATGCCAGGGGAAATCCAGAGCAATTCTAGTGCAGGCAGGGAGGGTGGTAAGAGCATGAGCAGAACAGACCTGTTTTTTCCTCGCCATCCCACGGTGCAGCTGAGTTACCCCTTTCTGCAAAGTGTTAAATGTTCCTTGGCACGTACCTCTGATCTGCACCAGTTCTTTCGTAATGAACCCTGTGCCCATGAATAAATGGTTCTGGAAAGGGGTTTTGACTGTCCTTAAGCTGTGCTGCTTTGATGGCTGCTGTGCACACTTCAACCCCAACATTGATCTGCAAGCCATGCTTTTCCCTATGTCTGTTCTCTAAATTTAATTACTAGTGGTGCCCTGAGCACTCCTAAGTGGCAGCGAGCATAGAGGGCAGTGTGCTGATGACTTGCAGCCCCATGAGACCCGTGTGGGTGCTGCAGGGGAGGGTCAAGGTATGCCTTGTGCTGCTGCCAAGGATGCTCTGGCTGGCAGCATGACCTGAATTTAGCTAATGCTTCAACCTCCTTGGGGTGATTTAAGCTGATGGGTATTTCCAGGTCACCAGACAAAGAGAATAAGGTGCTGAATGCACCCTTAGAGGAAGTTCCTCCTTCTGTGAGCATGAAGAAGCCTTGAAAGGCCTTTAAGACAAGGCACAGATGTGCTTTGAATCCTGCAAAGTTTAAAGTTCAAACTCCTGGTGTTTGTGCTCAATACAAAGAGGCTATGTAAGCCCCACACCTCCAGAGTGATTCTGGACACACCATGCTGGGACTGTTCATTCAGCCATGCTTGGAAGGCAAAGATTAATTTCAAAGTAGTGGAAAACTTTCTATGTCTCTTGGGTCTGATCTGGCAGCATCTGATCTGCAGACAAAAATAACAGAGTTCTTGGCACCTGACAGGATCTGTCCTGTTTTCTGGAGCAGGCAGGGGAAAGGACAAGCCCTCACTTTCTGCCCTTCTCTCTGGCCAGCCCAGGCTCATGAGTGCTGAAGGGCTGGCTGGCACTAGCTGGAGCAGGGCATCACCTTTGCCCTTGTTCATCCAAAGTGGTACCAGGAGAGCAAGGGCTGGAGTGATTTGGAAAGAAAAACGAGAGACTGAGATAAGTGCAGAGCTGTAGCAGATGATTCACAAGGCATACTGAGGACATTGTGCCCCTCCAGCAAGGAGAGGAGGAGGAACTTGCTCCAGGGTGTAGTAAGATGGTGGAAGAGCCAGGAGATGATCCTAGGTGATGCTTTTCACTGCAAGGACTCACTGGATATTGGTAACCTGAAAACTTGATTAGACATAGTCATGACACTTGAGATTTAACTAGACATTTGCCCCATCACCATTTCACTCTGCACAGCCCTGTGGTCAGGGTGGCTGGTGCTTTTTCCATGTGCTGTGGAATGAAGAGAGGCTTAGAGGTAGGGTCCAGCCTTCCCCAGATTACTTACAATGCCCTGATCTCCCCAAGCATCTGTGGAGACAATAAATCAGTAGCAGATGTGTACATCCATCTCCATGTAGGCAGCATCCTCCTTGGGATTAGAAAATATTCATAAAATTATAAGGTAAGAAAATGGATGGGTTTATCTGAGCAAATGCAAAGGTGGGCCTGACAGCCCTGCTGGGAATCAGTGCTCCAAGGCAGATGCTTGTAGCAATAAAAAGCAAGGCCTCACCTGCCTGGTGCTGTTCCAGGAGCAGATGCTCGCCCTAAATTAATTCCTCCCACATCTCTGCCTATCGTCTTTCTCTGATGACTCCTCTGTGGCCCAGACCATCTCTTGGGCCCTGTTGTCTTGCTGAGCAAGGTTCAGCCTTCTCCATGGTAGCTGCTTGTGCCTAAGGTATTCACAGAATCTGGACTAAAAGTGACTGGAGATTGTCTCAGGGAGAATTTCTCACGCAGAGGAAGCTAGGGAGTTAAAATGCTTCATATGAAGCTGTCAGTTTTGATGTTTTTAAACAGTAGATTACAGCAGACCAGCCTTACTTGGAAGGGAACATTCCGATTTTCCATTTCAAAACAATCTTGCTGCAATTAGAAATGTACAGGAGTTCTCAGTTACAGCACACTGCAGTGGAATATTTCTGTTAACTGCCCACTCCTTTATTTCTGGTAAATCCTGTTTTGAGGGTTACATTCTGAGAAGCTGATATTAATGTTTCAGGCTAGGGTTCATTCTGAAACTCTGCAGTTTCCTACAAAATGGAGCAGGTCCTGTCCCGACCAGCAGCTCTCCCTGCCAGCCCAGGGCAGTGGCAGAAGTGCACTGCGATACACGCACAGAGCTGGTGGTGCTCCTCTTTGCCTTCAGTGGAGCTGCCAAGTGAGTTCAAGGCTCCCCATGGCTGTGGACACTCAGGGAGAGAATCTGCTCACACCAGCCGTGTCAAAATCAGCTTTGGAGCGAGGAGGGACAGAGCTGATGTGATTTGTAAAGATCAGTGTCAGAGGAAGGAACAGACCCAGGCCTCCTCGCTCCGTTTCCTTATGTCCTGGTGCCTCTTGAGGTGCTGGGTTCACGTGGGGTCTGTACAAGCAACTGGGACATCGGGTTTGGCCACAGATCTCAGCAATTCCACAGGCTGCAGATACTGGAAGGGGAGCAGTGGCTGAGCTGGGCTGTGTTTCTTGATCCCTGATGAGTCTGAAACTATGCCAGAGCAAAGGCAGCCTGAGAAGTATCCCCAAGGAGGGGGACATGTGGCATTCCTACAGAGTTACTGGGACCTATGGCTGTCTGGATGCAATGGTCTCCAAAGACCCCTGGCTTTGTCTCTACTGAAGCAAACTGGGATGTTGCTTTATGTCACAGCATCTAATTCTTTTAGCTTGTCCTGCACTGAATTTTCTTACCAGAACAGCTTGCCCTCCTGGAAGGTTATAAAAGGCTTTTTATTTAACCCTGTGACATGTATAAATCCTCCCACACTGTCCACCAAGGAAGCTGTGCTGATTGATTTGCAGCCAGGCAGGACAAATTTACAGTCTCTTGGTTAGTTCTTCCAGAATCACTCCTCACCCCAGATAGCACACAAGCCATAGTTCACAGGTTTTTCAAAGGCCTCTGCTGACTGCTCTGACCTGGCTTAGTACCCAGGGTCCCAGAGTTAAAAGTCTTTCAAGGTCTGTCTCCATCTTGAGGATGTAGTTGTTCGGCTGTTTGGCTTTCGGTTCTTCCGCTCCTCCTTTGGGCTGGAGGGGACAGGAGGGTGATGGCCAGGACCAGACTAACAGCCAGATGAGGAGAAATGTTTGCAGGGGGAAGCAGAAGAGAACAAACGGAGGGAGGATGGTTCAAAAGCCAAGAGGAGGTGTGAGCACCCCAAGGACAGAGGGAGGGAGGGCACTCTCGTTTCACCACGTCGCGTGCAGACCTTAGAGTGTCGGTTCTCAGAGTGATGTAGCACAATTCCTGATGTAACGTACGCGTGTTACTTTTGTAAGTTGTCTCCTACCCTCACTATTTTCAGTGTACCTTGATTTTTGGAGACTGTTGTAAATAAAAGATTTTGACATTCGCACGTTTGGACCCCTCACTCATCAGTATGTCACTGTTGCATGAAACGTAGTGCTGCCCAGAGTGGCACTGACAGATGATGTGTTGCGTGTGGGGATGAGGCCACAGCGCAGTTTCCAACATGCACAACATTGCTTCTGCTGCTGAAATTGGGCCCCTTGAAGCCAACTTACCACATCCAGAAAAGCTGACACTCTGGAAAAGCCATCTCAGAATCCCACACAGGTCTGCAAGAGGGCTGGCTCGAGCGGGAGCTTTAGCCAAGCTTTGTGGAAGCCTTTTACTCCTCCACTCCGTGCTCTGCTTCTTCCAGTGCATGAAGATTGCACTTCTACACTGACTCCACGAGAAGGGGATTCATCTGCCTGCTTCTGTGGCACTACAGCTTCTCACAATGCACAGTGCCTGCCACGAACTTCGGGTCAAGGTTTTGTCTCAGTGTCCTGTGCCGCAGCAGCAGAGTGCTACTCTGCACCTCCCAGGACCACGCTGAAGCGATGCACGCAGAGGCCAGCAGCAGGACAGGAGGACCCAGGCATTTACTTCTCTTTGCAGCTGTGCCGAGTGAGGTTTGCTCCTCACACCCTCTCATTTGAGTGTGCTCACACTGCACCCAGCTATGAGGCTGCTGGGAAGGACAGCACCGACAGCACATGGCAGCAAAAACCTCCCCTGTTTTCAAGCCCACACTTCTACAGATGAGGCCAAAGTTACTGGTGAAACCCCCGTTGTAATAAATAGCAGGAATGCTCAGGGTCACAGTCTGGCGAGTAAGAAAAAAACACAGTATCAACAGGAAGGAAGAACATTGTCCCTTTAATGAGAAGTTGGGGATTGCAGGTAGGGGAGGGTTTATGCTCAAGCCTGCTGCTGGGAAATTGCCAGGCAAGGCTGGAAGGGGCTTGGCTTTGGCTACAAATTCAGCCCCTTGCCCCAAGAGCAGGCACAACAGGCACTTGCTCGCACACTGGCGGCAGCTGTGTGCGTCTGTGCACCACGGAAGAGGGGTGTTTTGCAGGAGTGTGGGACCACCTGGCAGTGGTGAGTGCCCAGGGCTGCCAGATGTGGGGATGGGCCACAGAAAGGGGTGTCCATGGGTACGGCAGCTGCAGATACAGGCAGTGATGGGTAGGGTCTCCATAGCTTTTCCGAAAACAGGCTGGGGAAGGGTTTGGGACAGGGGAAGCAGCTCAGAGGATGGATTACACGGGCGACAGCTGCTCACTATTCATTTCAAGCTGGCAGAGGTGGGAAGGAATTGTGTTTCTGTCTGCAGGAGCCTGCCCATGCAGGGCTGCTGGCTCAGCCCCGGCGCTAACACTGATGGTCCCAGCTCTGAAACCTGCTGCCTGTGATTTGGCAGAGCCCCATCTCTTCTTCCAGGTGAGCGAGTCTGGTGTGAAGTCTTCATTACACACAGCAAATCCCCCCCGGACTTTTCTCAAGCTGTGGCACAGCGAGATCTCCCTTGCCTCCCTGACGCCCCATCAGCATTTAGGGGCTCTGCCTGTGCGCCCTGGGGTGCTGCAGCAGGTGCACCCAGCCCCCCTTCTCCCACAGGCTCCTTCCCACCCTGAAGCTAAACGTCAAGCCCTGATTCTGGGGCTTTGAAAGGGAAAAACTGCCTTTTCTCTGAAAAACTGCACGCCGGAGCCTGCCCTTTCCACTCAAGGCAGGACGCTGCTGCTGTTCCTTCGTCCCTGCGTCACCCACCCGTCCCCAGGAGGCTTTTTGGGGGGCCGGAGAGATGGGGCTGGGCTCGTTATTTTGGGGGGGGCGGGCAGCTGCTAAAATGGCTGAAGCTGCCGGCGGGGGCTGAGGGCCGCCGTGACTTTCCCACCTTTGTGTGGGGCCGTGGCACGAGCCGCCGGTGCAGCCGATCCCTCATCAGGGCACCCCGGCGGGGGCTGAGGGGAGGCCGCTGCCTCCGCCGGGACCGGACACGACACGACACGACACGACACGAAGTGAGTGGCTCCTCCATGAGGGAGGCAAGCGGGGCTCTGTCATTACCGCCGTCCTCCCTCCCCTCTGCTGCAGGTGGCTGAGCACAGAAATAGGGAGCTTTTAAATCTTACGCTCCTCTGACTCAGCCATACTGACGAGAAGAAAGGTCTTCAGGTGTTCTAATTTATTTTTTTTCCACACAGCCTTGAGCGTGGTTTTTGCCTCATGGTGTTTTTCTCCCCCACACTGTCGGGCTGTCTCTCTCCTGCACCTTACCCCGACAACAGTGCCTATGGGGGTAGTGCCCTGTGTTGAAGGGGGCTACAGCTTGGCCCGTGGCTGGTCTCTGTGCAGCCCCAGGTAGCTCCTTACCCATTTCCGAGTAGCTCGGGAACAGTCTTCTCCCTCAGATGATTGACACAAAGGTCAGTCAAAGAGGATGACTCACTCTCTTCCCTTCCCTGGTAATTTGTCACCCTGCAGATGACACATTTTAGGGGGCTCCTCAAGCAGTGAACAGATCTCTGGCAGACCTATGGGGACCTGTACCTCTGGGCTGCTCTTTTTTTATCCTCATGGCTGTTTATTCAGCTATCATGTGCTCCCTGAGGCCCGAGGATGGTGATGAGCAGAAGCTGGAGAGGCTGGGTGCCAGGCTTTCCTTTGCTGTAAGCCAGCGTGGGAGCTGAAGTGAGCCCAAAACAGTGGGAACTTGGAAGGTTTGTAGATCGTGTTTCTCTGTGTGTTGGCCCATGGTGCCTGTTTCTTGTCACTTTTTTTCTCTCAAGTTAGAACAACTTTATTGCCCCAGGAGCTCAGCATGAAAACATGTTTCAGACTGCTGCATGCAACAAGCAGTAGGAAGGGGCAGGGAGCTTGGTAGCACCCTGATGGATGTTTTTGCAAGGAGAAAAGCAGTGAAGGAGCCTGGACAGGACTAAGGCCTGAAGTGGGTTGGGATGGGATGAGAAGGGTTGCCAAAAATGTGATTTCAACCCCAGATCTGAAGCAGAGAAGTTGCCAGGTGGGGTGGTGCAGGTGTCAGTCGGGGGGGATGTCAGTGAAGCGCAGCCATGGCTGGGCTGAAGGGCAGCGGCTGGTAAACAAAAGAGCACTGCAAACAACTGCTTGTGATGGGAAGTGGAGGGGGTTGGATTAAATTACAAATAGGTTGTGATTTAGGTAGGTAGTAGAATTGTCGTCCATCTTAAACATGAAAGGCTTGTGGCAAAGGAGATTGTGAGGCAATAATAAGGGCTGCTAAGGGTGAGTAAGGGCGGGG